ATTGATTATTCAAAATAAAACGTTTTTTTTTTCTTACTTCAGTGGTGATCATTTCTTCCACTTTTAAGGACTGAGGTTCAGACACTAAAATGTGGGCTACTTCTGGGAAACCCTAATATGAGAAAAATGCACTATATGTGAAGAAAGTTCACTGACTTTTTTCTTTTGTAAAATTTTACACTTAGCACCCCATACTCTTGCCAAAMCTGACTTTCAGAAYRGAAGAGTATCCAAAAAGCTCAAACTAACAATTTTMTTGAAAGATAAATCTGCTATGCACTTTTTCTTTTCTAGTCTTGCATTTGTTGACATGGAAGGGCGAGACTTGAAAATGATGCAGCAGTCAGCCACTAGGGKACGGTTGTCCTTTGTGGTTTCAACTTCCGGTCATGAGTCTGGGTAATGTGTGTGGATGCTTATCATAAATTAGGAAAATGAGGTAATTTCATTTATGAAAAAAAAAAAAAATCCGGATGATTGTGGACGAATGAAATTTTCATTTTAAAACAATTATGAAATATATGATGAACGATCTTGCCATACAGGAGWTCACAATCAAAGCCTGAGACTATTTTTGCAGATTGAAATTATAGCTAATTTCCACCTGGTTGTGTTTGCAGATAAACAAACTTGTGGAAGAAAATAAAACCCATCTTTAAATGTAAAAGGTTTTGGCTACCATCACACAATTATTCGAAATTAGCCGAATTCAAAATCTAATTTAGAGCGCTTTAATAACAATTGTCTCCTGTAGTGGGCGTTTTGTCAGACCGAACCCATCAGAACCAGCGGAAGTCGCAGGATTGCACCATTTCCCAAACAAATGTGGGTCACGTAAACCCGTGTAGGTCAGAGCTAAAAATAGACGCTGCTGCTTTTCGCGAGAGCTGCCAAAGCGCGCGGCAATAAAGTCATGCAGACCAGGAGATCCTGGATCACAGGGGCCGTCAGGGAGGTCAGGCTTTCCATGGGTGACATTTAACGCCACACGTTGCCTGGAGAGGCTCTGTGCGTAACGAGAGCACGGGACTGCTGCTGCGCAAAGCAGGACAGGGGGGCTTTTTGGAGGCGCCACATGTAGCTGCTCTCACACACATCTGCAGACATGTCCTTCCTAACCATCCCGAACAAGGAGGGCCTTTTTCCTGCCATCAAAACGGGCAAGGCGGCCGAGGAAGGGGCTCGATCGCGCACGGACGCGGATGTGGACGAGGAAGAGGAGGATGACACCGAGGACGCCCGCCTCATCCCCAGGTGCTCCCCGGTGCCCCGGAAGCGAGGCTCGTCCATCTTTGACGAGACCGCCGAGTACATGCGGATCCACCAGGCGCTGTGCACCGGCAAGCGGGTGTCGTTCGCGGACACCACGGGCGGGGACCTGGTGGACGTGCGCGAGTTCCACGCCTTCGACTCGGACGAGGATGAGGAACTCAMCGCCAAGTGGGAGGAAGAGGAGGCGAAGTACCGGAAAGCGGAGCGCGAGCCGAGCTACAGCGTGCGCGCGGAGTTCCACGCTCCCGGCGGCGGCGACCTGCTGCAGGCCGTCCGCGCCAGGAAGGTGGAGGTGGAGCGGATCGGTCCCGTGGAGGACGATCCGCTCGCCTTCAGCGGGCTCGTCCGGGTCCTGAACGTCTCCTTCCACAAAGCGGTTTACATCAGAGCCACCATGGACGGCTGGGCCACGTACTTTGACCACCCGGCGGAGTACGTCCCGGGGTCCAACGACGGGGAGACGGACCAGTTCTCCTTCAAGCTGTCCTTTGCGCCACCTTACACCACACACGGCTCCCGCATCGAGTTCGTGGTGCGCTACGAGACCTCAGACGGAGATTACTGGGCCAATAACTCCTCTCTGAACTATGTGGTGACGCTGATTCTGTCCTATAAGGATGATCCAGTTCAGACAATCAGTGATGCCCAACAGAGAAGAAGTATCTTGAAACCCTGCAGAGTGCACAGGTCAGACACCTCTTTGGGCCCATTTCCGTAAATTAAACAGACCTCCACAGACTGATCAGCTGGGGTCAAACGAAAATCAGCTTAACAGTCTTTCAAGCTGTCCATATGGGGATATAAGGGTGATTAAACTAATGAGGTTGTACAAAACAGCTTGATTTAAGGGTAAGTTCCATGTTACCAATCAAACAGGGAGATGATAGATTTAATCAAAAGGTGCCCCTGATTACTGACTCCCTGTGAGGCTTTCTGGCTGAAATCAGCTYATTTAATGGTTAACTTATAAAACAGGAAAGCATTGCACACCAATCTAGGAATGCTTTCTAAAAAGATTTCCAGTGACCCTTTGTGTCCGCTTTGACGCCATCATAGAAAGAGTTTTTAAGAGAGCGCAGAATGCCAATCCAGGAGATCAAAATAGGTGGTGGGGCGACGCAGGTGTCGTTTTCAGCCCTGGCTTTCCCCCCTGCTCTAAAATCTACCTCTGACCTTTTCCATCAGTCATAAGGGAGCGGAGCCATTTCAAAGGAGCAGATTGGCTCCTGTCCTGGATGTAATCAAGAGGCTGACGCACAGACCGCTCGGCTTCCTTCAGCACTTGGTTTAAGACATCTAATCCCCTCATTTATCATAGCGTCAACACTAAAGTACAAGCAGTTTCTGTGATGTTGGATCATAAAGATAGAGGTCGGGGCAAAGGTCATGCTTGCCTGGATAAAAGTGGGGCTGGTGTAATCCTAGTGTGCACATTAATTCCTCATAAATATTAAGGTATTGGAACTGATATAATAGTTTTCCTTYTGTTTCAGTGTCATTTATTGGTTTCGTTATGAGTGAGCTGTGCTTCAGTCCAGTTTTTATTATGAAGCAGAGCTGTCAGAATCTAAACTCTGAAGTCACACCAAAGTATTTCCCTCTACAAGGTCACATTGAGGTCAAAGGATTGGACTCAACGCTGGTCTGAGCGGTCTTGTATCAGAGTCACCACACAAGTCTTAACCTTTAAATAATGGATGAAAAGAGTCAGGTCTGTTCTTTCCAGGTGTTTATCTTTCGACATGTTTTCATTAGGCTGCTGTGACCGCTTCCCTTCAGCAGATCCACAAAGACCAGAGTTCTGCGTTAGATTTGAACTCTAACCCCCTCATGATAGAAACCCAAACACGTGATCCTCCCTCATCACATGTTCRCCACATTTCTTAAGAGTTTGGGTTCCTTTACAGATCTTTTGGCCCTGTCCCCACCCTAGAGAATATTGTGATATTTAGAGCTATATTTTCCACTAATAACCACAACTCACATTTGGTACATTTATGTTTACTTTGCTAGAGGATGTCTGTACATTACAGTGTCTGTTTTATAAAACACTTTGCTCTGGTCAGAATGAAACTCGCACAGCACATTAGCACTTTTACTGCATCAGTGATTCATGAGAGTAATTATCCAAAAYGGATTGCACCCATTTTTAATTTGATTTATTTCAGTCATTTTGTTTTTGTCGTATGCACATATGTCATTTATCAGAGCAGACAGTTAACCAAGACGTAGGGCAGCAAAGCTGGCTTATATTACAAAAATAAATTTCAAAAMCAGCAAAAATAAACTTTCACTGACTTACAAAGAGTACACATTTATTTCTATTACATTATGTTGTTATTTGCAAATACAAATAATGAGCTAAAGCACTTCCTGTAGAACACAGGGGACTCACAGCTGGAATACCTTAAYATTTCTGCTGGACTGACTGTACAAATAAAGATCAATTCATCCATTATAAAGTCAGGTTCTGTGCAAAAGTCATCTCACCTGTTTAAAATGAATATTTAAAGCTAAAGTATAGTTCTGACATGACTCAAATCTACAAAATTGAATACAGTTTTGAAAATGTTATATAAACCTTTTAACCACTTTTAGTTTGACATTACAGTTACTTATATAAAACTTTATGGCGATTTGCATCACAGATAACTGCCTTTGTATCTAGCTGTAACTTCTGAAACCTTGCAATAATTGATGGTAATATCAAGGTTTCTACGTTTGCATGAATAACTATGTGAAAACTTTAGGTTTTATTTTTACTAAGCTGCATTTTAAAGTGTTCAGCATTTCATGTCTTCTGTTCTTCAACAAATCTTCCTCTTCTTCCAGTKTGGATGATGAAAACAGTGATGATGGTGAAGCTTCAGAAGAGGATCAGGAAAAAGCAGAAGGTAAAGAAACACCGCTTTAATCCAGAACTGTAGTTATTGTATCACTTTATTAGGTGACAAATGGAGACATGGTTGATCAGTTGTGTCTCTGGTGGTAAAACTTAACTTTAATGGTTCAGTTCCAAGAATAAAGTCAGGAATATTATAGTCAGATTGGGGAATATCAGGATAACAGAGTTGCATCTCGTAAAGCAACTCAGTGAGAGTTTTTGTACATAATACAGCCCAGTACGTACTTCAGTATGTAGCAAGTAAGTACCTGGAACATAATTAGTACATACCTAAAACTCACTCTGTATGTACCAGATAAGTACACTGTAAGTACCCTGTAATACCAGGTACATAACCAGCAGTGGATTGGGTATGTAACGGGTATGTAACATATGCTTATMCGGTACCTACCTTAATGCTAGGCTATATGCAGTACATTTGTTAACATTAATGTGTGTAAATAACCACAGAGCCGATCTGTAATGCAAGTTTACTGTTAAGATCATATTTATATTCTTTTTGGTTTAAAAATTGTCATATTAATAGCAACAAACCTTTCCAACATATGTTCTGTTAAATGCAATAATTAATTGTCTTTGTTCTGATGGATCCAAGTCTCTGAGGTCATTTCTCTGTTTTCCATCAGCAGAAGAACTGGAGAACTCCACACTGAGACCCATCCGACCTGCAGCTGCCTGTCCGGCCACCGTGCATCCAGAGATCGACGTTGAGGTAAACCTGAAGTGACAAGCACACACAGATATCCTCTGAGTAAATGAGCTGAAGGAGGGAATGTTTTTTTCAGAGGACCTTGTCCTACATTTAGCCGAAGTTTAGACGATTTTTGCATGCAGTTTTCAGGAGAAGATTAAGACCTTTGCTCATTTTCACAAGTCATGTATCTAATAAAACATAACAAACATTCCTGTTCCCCTTTAAAAACTTATCATGGTTGGCTTGGTTGTTTATATTGTTCACAGCTCATTGAAGCTTCAGCAACAACTTAGGTAACGTTTTGCTCCTCACCACTGCAKCACGTCCACCGTGTGCTCATTTCACCGTCCCCTCTGACTTGGATTACTATGGTGTCGCATGCTGTGAAGTATTCTGACCTTTTAATTTGTCTGTTTCTAATTTTAATTCATTTTTTCCCCTTTCAGTTAAATGTGTGGGAATATCAGAGGACTAATCTTTAATCACAATGTTTACAACTAAAATGTTCTAACATTTGAAGTTCAAGATCTCCGTGTGTGATTCAGTTATAATCAGTAATAAAAAAGTTTATATTTGTTGTTTTACAGTACATTTGGCAAAAAGAGAGCTGTTRAAAGGTTTAATAGAGAAATATAAAACTTGTGTCAAAACTCAAAAATTATTTTTCTTTTTCTACACAAGGAGAAATAAACACATATTTCTGTAAGATGTAAAATGATTCTTGTGAGTATCTGTTTGTACTCAGTCCTCTCATCGTCATACCTGGTTCACCTCAGTCCCATGCATGACTTAGTCTTCTTGCAGATCAAAAAGTTAAAGATAAACCTGTCAGCTCATGTACAAACATCAGTGAAAGCAATAGTTCAGATCTTCTGGAATGAGCTTCTGTAGAAAGATTGCAAACACAACTCAATATGTTGATTGTAAAAACCATACATGGATTTGTGTACCGTTCGTTCTTTGTTTTTTCCGCTTCAAAACAAAATCGTAATAGTTTTTTTGTTTGTTTTTCCCATTTTTAAAAAACTTATTGTAAAAAAATGTTTCAAGATGGGTGGTGACTATGGCGGTCATTTTGATGTCAGCCATTTTGGATCCAACTTTAGTTTTTTCCAGAGTTGCAAAGTAACTATGTACAAATACTTCTTTACTGTACATAAGTAGATTTTTTGGGTATTTGTACTTTACTTGAGTAATTATTTTTCAGCCTACGTTTCACTTCTACTTCTTACATTTTCACACAATTATCTGTACTTTTTACTTCTTACATTTTTAAAGAAGACAAGAAGTAGAAAGTCGTTAATTTCATTTTTGCTTGTTTTCATTCCAGCTTGTAAAAAAAAAATACTATCCATATAAATTGTGCCTCCTAGACAGAATGAATTTAATTGTGGTTGAAATTGAAGTACAAATATATTACATTCTGATATCGTATTAGTTTGTACACAAACAAATCATGTCACACTCCAGCAGGACATAATCATTAAAAATAAAAGGACTGTACTTAGGAAGTATTTGTATTTCATGAATAATATTACATTTGGCCACAGCCCTCAGATAGATTTTCATTTTGGGGAAAAGGTTTGTGCAGCCTTGATATACGTATATAAACTGAAACAGCTAGACTAGTGCATCCTAAATTTAACATAAATTACTTATTTTAATACGACAGTCATTTCTGCATTTTTTTGGGGACGTCACCTCCTAATAAATGTACTTACAGGAAATCTAATTGCTCTTTTTAAATCAATACGTTTACTTTTAATACTTAGGTACAAAAAATATCAGATACTTTAAGAGTTTTACTCAAGTAATATTCCTAAAGGAGATTTTAACTTTTACCAGTCATTTTTTGGTAAGATACTTGTACTTTTACTCAAGTATCGCTTTGTGGTACTTTATACATCACTGGATTTTTCGATGAGTAGAGTGGGAGAAGAGGGTTGCATTGACAATCCAGCACAATGGGCAGCCTTTTGAACACATTTTATAAGTGATCAGAAATGTGTAAGTAACTCATAAAAGAAGAAAGTTACATTAAAACCAAGCATGCCATTGTTTTTCTTGTGAAATTCTCAATAAGTTTAATGTGTCACATAACCCTCTTCCCATTGTYAAAACTAAAGTTGGATCCAAAATGGCYGACTTCAAAATGGCCACCATGRTCACCAYCCATCTTGAAARGTTTTTCCACTCCCAAATGTGCCACAAACAGGAAGTTAATACCACCAACCATTCCCATTTTATTTAGGTGTATCCAAATAAATGGCCCGCCCTGAATATTATAATGTAACATAGGTCATTGAGAAGACTGCTTAAATAGAAACAAAACTCAAAATCAACTTTTTTTTGTAGATAAACTGTCTAAATTGGGCCTTAGGGTATTATCTTTCTGTGCAAATTTTAATATTTTTGTGTAAATTTGTTTAATTCTACAATATTTTGTAAAGCCATTTTGGTGCTGCCCTCTATGAGCTGAATGAAAGCAGCAGAGTGAGAAAATGTCTTCAGTTTGTCCTCCAACGGTCTAAACCTATAGCAGCAGAACTAAGGAATAACTCAGGAAACCTAAGCCTAACTGTAGGATTTAGCAAAAAGGAAAGTCTTCAGTCTAATCTTAAAAGTAGACAGAGTGTCAGCCTCACAGAATGAAACTGGAAGTTAGTTCCACAAGAGAGGAGCTTGATAACTGAAAGCTCTGCCTCCCATTCTACTTTTAGAAACTCGAGGAACCACAAGTAAACCTGCAGTCTAAGAGCCAAGTGCTCTGCTGCTAACATCCCTTTAACTCAGAAACGGGACCCATTTGGTCCTTCATTGCCTCGCAGCACCAGCTTCATGCATCACTGAGCCAGCGGCTCGATCTCATAAGGCTCAGTTCCACTGTGCTCCACAGCCTCCCTCAACCTCCATTGAAGATGGGGGTGAAAAATCATCTTTTGTATTTTCTTGTTTTATTTTGAAATGAAAAAAAAATCATACGCAGATTATTTAGAGCAGTGTTATTTAATTAATGTTATAGAGAAGACACCTGTGACGGACTTGTAACCTGTCCAGGGTGTACCCCGCCCCTCGCACTGACTGCTGGATATGGGCACCAGTGACCCCCGTGACCCTAGAAAAGGAATAAACAGGTGTAGATAATGGATGGATGGGTATAGAGAAGACACACAAGAATGTGTTTGTGTTTTCCATGTTTAGTGAGAAAATGAAGGAGCTGGTGTTCGGGCGGTCTCCAGAAAAACGCCGCATTAAAGTGAAACAACTTTAATTAGACTACCATCTTTCTGTCCCGCCCCCGTCATTTCTGGCCACTGGGAGCAATGATCGTCACCCATGTGGTTTTGTTTACAAATTACAGTAGGCTTGCAAAAAAAGCCCAATGAATGCAAATCGCACCAAACAAAAAAATAAAAATAAAGTCCGCTTTTGGTCTGGACCAAACAAACAGACCAAAGGACTTAATYGTTGCTTGCCACACTGAAAGGAGGGCAATAATTTATTTCAAATATGGCCAAGACCAAAATAAAATTCTGTCTGTTTGTTAGCAAAATATCATAGGAACCAGAAGATGTTTAATGAAAGTCAGACAGTACCTAAGGCTGCCACAGTTATTTGACCTCAGCAAACATAAAAGGCAGCATTCCTTCAAAAATGTGGTTTTCTTATTATTGAAAAGGTATTTCCTGAAACCTATTTATGATTTATATTAGAGTGACACACATCAATGAAATGTCATCAGGAATTCATTCACATGTAGTGCTGACTTAAAAATATGTTCACACATTAAAGGTTTATTTCCTATTTAACCTACAGTAAGTTTTTTAAATATTTATCATCGTGTCACTATCTTTTAATATAGGATTCCAAACAAACAGGATATTATCGTGTTATACCATCTCACAGTGTTTATGTTGTGTCTGTAGTGTCTCACAGTTATGGTGTCAGCATGAATCCCATTTCACAGAAAAGCATTAGTGAGTTGTAAAATGCTTTTCTTCTTACAGCGTGAAATAGAAATTCCTCCATATTTTCCTCCCTCTCTTCGAGCTGTCATTGTTTTCTTACTGTTTTAACAGAACACAGTTCAACCATCTGGTTCCTCCGTCCCACTCCACCACAGACCTCCATCTGTTGAAGGCACGCCGTCCACTCGTGCTGTTTTCCAGGGTGAACAGTTACCCCACACGCCTTCCGAAACCAACCTTCACACCGATCCAACCTTTGGACCGAACATCGGTGAATCCTACCAGCCAGATGAGTCCCAACCTTCAACCAGACACCAATGTGAACCACAGAGAAACACATCAGAGCAGTCCACGAGCAGCAGCCCCWCTGCTTCAGCTCCGTTATCACAGGAGACTGAAGGAAGATCCGATGAATCCCAGGCTGAAGGAGTGGAGAGCTCAGATTCAGAGTGTCTGTCTGCAACAGAGGCGAAGCTTCTGACAACAACACGAGAGGACGGATTGACTGAACTCGACCCGCCTGCTGAGAGGGTCTTCTCTGAACCTTTGTCTCCTGTGGCAGAGACTGCAGCACCCATTGAAGCAGACGGTGAAACCCAGCCTTTACCTGATCTCACGTTAAACCCCTCAGTGATCCCCAGACCYGCCTCCGAGGTGAGCCCAGACACAGCCTCTCAGTGTGTCTCGGCCAGCGGAGAGAACGACGGTGCTTCCCTGAACTCTTCATCAGATTATTCTCCAAACACGCTGGATCTCTCTGAGCCCTGGTCTGAACTCGACATCAACAGGAATCTGATGTYGTGTGTTTTCTTTCTGAGTGGAGTCGTCTCCCTCTCAGTGGTGATGCAGGAACCYCGTGCCCTCTTCTTCATCGGGCTGCTTCTGGTTTTACACCGTTTCTGAGCCCCCACACCCACCCTTAAAGGTTTATTTTGAGCTCCCGTCGATTTAAGTGCCTTGTAATAATTCCAAGATYGGCCAACGTGTGGAAAAAGGCTCAATTGTCCCTTTGAACTTGTAGGGATTTTTATGCAATATATTATGGAAAGTGCAGCGTTCAGTAGAATATTATCTATTTTTTTCATTAACCTTGTGATCACTGTAATGTCAAAGCACCGAATTTTACCAAAACAGCGGTGTAAGTGTTTTATGATTATTTTTGTTTCCTTGTGAAGATGTGACACTCAGCCAGTACAACAGTGCACCTTTAATGCCATTACTGATTAGATAAACAATGGTGGAAGCCTCCAGGTTTCAGTTTGATGCCAGTGMCAAAGTGCCTTAAAGAGCTAATATCACAGGTGGGTAATGGTTTGTGTTAAAATCCTGTCTGGTTCCAGAAATGCTCCCCTTCAAAACATGCATTACCATCTCAGATAATTGTATATTTTCACTGGTTTTGTTTAATTTCTCATACTGATGATGTTTGTTAAAATAAACCCTGTAAACATAGTATTTAGAATTTTAAAATAAGAGGACTCAGGTGGGTTTTGCTATATTTCTGAACCATTTCTGATGATTTGTGGCAGTGGTGGGCTTAGTTCAGCTAACAAATAATAGTGGATTTTTTTTTTTATTTAGTGGATTAGATTCTTCACTAACTTTGAAAACAGTAGCAAACCTATTAGCTTTTGCTAATGGTTTTGACAACTTTAGCTGTTTAGCGTTACCTTCTGCTATATATTTTTTTTTCTTTTTTTTACATGTTAGTGAATTATGAGTTAGCAAAGCTAACATTTTTGGTAGTTGTGCCCATCACTAATTTGTGGGTGGAATAGGCCAGTGGTTCCCAAAGTTGGGGTCGGGACCCACAGTGGGGTCCCGAAACATCAAGGTGGGGTCCTGAAAAGTTTTTTTCGGAATTAATTACACTAAAAAATGACAACATTTTTTTTGCCTTTGTCACAAAAATGTAAATTAAGTGTACTTAAAATGGACAAAAAATAGCGTAATAAATATTGTTACTATGCACAGGGGGAAGAGATCTCCACTGCTGGTATTTTGTGGGTCAAAAGCTGAAAAGTTTGGGAACCACTGGAATAGGCAACACGTTTACTTCAGTTCCTGTTTGTTTACATCTTTTATTCAGTTTGAACACGCTAAAACCTACAAATATTCTGACATCATTATTATTTTTGTGCAGAAAATGTTTATTTTCCTACAGATTTCTAATTTTAGTTCTATTTTAGAACTAAATAGAATGCATTTTTGCACACTGCACTATAAAACTTTCCCAACAATAGGAACGTTTAATGTGAACACATTTATGCATTTCTTTCTTTCTTACCTGCTTGTTCCCGTTCAGGGTCACAGRGAGCTGGTGCTTTTCTCYRGTGCACAAACAAGWGGCAGGGTTCAGCCTTTGGACAGGTCACCAGTCTAYCACAGGGCCACATATAGAAACAAACAAGCACGCACACGGCCAATTTAGAGTCGCCAATTAAACTTACGTGCAGGTTTTTGGTCTGTGGAAGGTAACTGGAGCACACAGAAAAAACCCACAAATGCATGGGGAAAATCATGCAGACCCCACTAAAAAAAAAGGACCTAGCTTGGTTTCAAACCCAGTGCTAACCGGCTGCATCACTGAAAACCACAAATACTTACACTCCTGAAAACTAAAGAAGTTCATTTGGTCTCTAAAATGAAATTGATGCAGCTTACACCAGGCAAGCAAAGATCTTTAGACAACAGAACAGCTGGTTTGCTTGCTTGTTTTGGTTTATTATTTGTATATTATTTCATTTAAATTTATTAAGTTTTAGAAAAAGAAAGAAAACTCTTAGTGGGTGCTAATAGTACATCGTGTAATAGTATAAGTATAGAATATTTCTGAAAACCTATTAGATTTATTATTTCTATTGTAGGTGTTAGCATTTTGTCTTGTAAACATGACATTGGCCCTTCAAAGGTTGGTGCAACGTTTTGGTCAACCTTTAGGGTCTGCTGGTGTTTTGACAAAAAAGGACCCCTGCCAAAAAGAGACACTAGTCTTGTGAAGTGCTGTTTTTAAGGGTGTGATGTCATGTGTCAAAAAAAATTGTACTACCCACAAATAGAGATGCTTGATAATTAGCCGAGGACCTTCAGACCTGACTAATGTGAATTATTTTAGGAATTTCATTAATGATATTACACAGTCAACTGATCCTTCACACCAATTTTACTTTTTGTTACACAATATCACTTTGTACAGACCRTTCTTGCAGAATTTACGGCTTCAGTAAATATTTTCATTCTTGGCRTTGTGGTCCTAAGTCACCTGCTGTTGATATTTGTGTGAATCATTGTTTCTTTTTGGAGTTAAACCAGTCTTGTTTGCACTGGAGTTGCTGAATTACACAGCTTGTGTGAGCTGATGACTTATTTCTCTTTGTCTCTATTTGGTTTGAGTCACCAAAAGTTAGTCACACAGGCAACTGCACAAAACCTACATGACCTCACGCTAACAGATCTGAGTCAGGAAGAACACTTCTGCTGCTACCTTTTGCTGTTTTATGAGCTATGATACAAAAGAGCACATGTAGGTTTTAGCCATTTAAAAATATTTAAGAGATGCAAATTACACAGTTGTTTTTCAACCCTGGTCCTCAAGGCACACTGCCCTGCATGTTTTAGATGTTTTCCTGCTTCAACACAGCTGATTTGAGTTGGTAACTGACTAACAGGCTTTTGTTGAACTGCAATCATCTGAATCAGGTGTGTCAAAGCAGGGAGACCTCTAAAACATGCAGGGCAGTGTGCCTYGAGGACCAAAAAGAGCAGACAAAAAGGGAAAAGAATTTCAGCTCTGTACTTTATGTCTATATCAAGACACAAGATTTTATCCTTAGTAGGTCACATGAACAGTTACCCTGACGTTAGCATGCTYGCAGAGACACATCTATCATCTGGCAGACGGTCAAGTAATGAGGCTCCTCTGTCTTTTCTTAAGATGGCCACTTGAGAAAACCAAGCTGGCAACAATCAACTGCCAAACCTAAGTTTGTGAGATGGTCCACTCATCCAGGGTCACACCTTGTCTCTACAGGCTGTGTTCAAACCACACTGTTGTGAATTTAACTTGTCGTATTCTTAATGATGGTTTACATCTCTGTTTGCACAAAAAGGTCACCAGAAGAGATTTGTAATGTGGACTTTTGTTTGTGAATTGTATTAAAATTATTTTAAATTGATCTTAAACACAAGATGGAAACTGATGCAGATTATGGGGACCGTCCACATGGGAATGAATTTTGTAAAAATGCTAATGGTTTTCATTGTTTCAACTTTAGTCCACAAAGAAACTCTTTAGGAACCCCAAAACAGTTTATTTATTTATGTATTTATTTTTTGAAAGGGATCTCTAACCACTTGCCCATGTTGGCTTTAACATGTTGCTCTTTCTCTACTCTACTAAAGGTTGTTTGTCACACATGAAAACTATTTGCATATATTTATACATTAGCTATGTTGTAACTGACACAATGCATTCTGGGGATGATAATGAGGATAGGCCCCACTTGAGACAAAAACAAAGAGTGAAGATTAAAAAGCAATAATGTGTGACAACAAATATATATTTTGCATTAATATTAATATTTCTATATTCTGCATAATACAGGGGTTGAAACGATTAAAAGTGACATTTAGTAATTTAGCTCTGAAGCTAATGCCATATATCGCCACACATTAGCTCAGGAGCTAACATGAAAGCTAAAAAGCTAAAGATGAGGTGAGCCTTCCATGAAGCAGCTCTATAGTCCATCATCATTATAAGTGGCAGGCAGAGTCATTTCTACATTCTCCTCTCTGTCAATGCACTCTGGTTTCATTTAAAAGGGCTGGATGTCAGACATTGTTCAAAAATAACATTGAAAATAGAGCTTGCACTGGAGGAYCAGAATGCTTTGCAACATAAATAATATGGTGATGTTTAAATGTTGACCAACACCTCAAGAGCTTCTCTGAGCTTGATGAGACATTTTCAAAATATAATATTGACTCAGTTTTATGTTTTTTTAGTGTTGCATCTGGTAGCCATTGATTCCTTGCCATTTATTTGTAAATAATAAATCAGATAACATGTATTAAAGCAGTGATTCTCAACCCTGGTCCTCAAGGACTCTTTTCCTGCATGTTTAGATGTTTCCCTGATTTGACACACCTGGTTTGAATGAATAAGTGATTAACAATCTTCTGAAGACCTGCTGAATAGCAGAGAAACAAGTAAAACATGCTGGATAGGGGTACTTGAGGACCAGGTTTGGGAACCACTGGTCTACAGTATTTAAAGTTAAGTAAATGTTTATCAAATAACRTCTAATGTTACAACTCGRAGTTCCCTTTAAACAAGTTCCAGAGTGAAAAACATCTTAAAACGCCACCCTTTCTGTATCAACAGCCAAAACACAAACTTTTGAAAAAAGAAGACATCTTTGTCTCTAATCTAACCTACAATCAAAGTGTGCATCCTACTTCCTCTTACATTTAAAACTCCAGGCCTTGTTTCCTGTTTTTGATACTTTTTTTTTTTTTGCATTTTAGCACCACTTACAGGTGTGGCAGGGTTACTACATTTTGTTTGTTTTTGATGTTTCCATGTAGATGAAGACAACTCTAGAAACATTGAYGTGTTTACAAGATTATTTTTAGAAATGACAAATAAAAAGCTTGTTTTGAAAAAAATCTGTGCTTCCATGCGAACCAGGTCTAAAGGATGAAATATGGAAGCCATCCTGTGTGGTTTGTTAGCTGTGTTGTTGATCACTTTCACTGAGGAGAACTTCTTGTTGAGTCGTGCCATGTTGATGTTAAGCAGCACATTTTATAAAACTGCTTTGTGAACCTCGCAGACAGACTGAAGCACAAAATGACAAGTTTGACGTGGTGAAATATTTTGCAGTGTATTRACATTAAACATGTTCTCATGTCCTGTACAGCTTTCTTCTTGGTTTTCATTTACCCCACACACAMAAAAAGAAAAAATACTGAAAAATTATGAACATTGCAACATCGTACAACAGAGTCGAAAAGTTAGTCATTGCTGACCCACCAAAAATAACATCAGTCTTTAGTGCCTCCATGATTGGAGCGTTTAGCTTTGCTAGARATGGAAACAAACAGATGGCAACATGAGCTGCAGAAGAAAACCAAAGGTCAYACATTGCATTGAAGGCATGGTGTCCTGGCCATTGTAAGCTGAGATCAAAATATGAGCATTGAAAACTTTCTGTAAAGCTGCCAGGATGTCAGAGACCAACTCTTATCATAGATATAATTAGTTATTTTAAAGCAATGTTATTTAAGTTTTCAAGACTAAAAAAATGTCTCGATCTAATCAAATATGAATTCTGGCAATAATTCTGACTTTTTAAAGTGGGTTCTGTAGAAAGTTAATGAACAATTCCTGTGAGTTCTTTGAGTGACCTCAGATTCTGATGCATTTCATTTGTACTAAAAAGCTGAATTTTTTGACTCCCACCTTACTAACTTTGTCAGTCAGCGCACTATGGCACTTTTAAAGCCTCTGCTAAGTACGGAAATTGAAACTAAATGTATATGAGAAAAAAAAAGTATATCTGAACAAGTAGCAGCAAGAACTACACCCAAATCAAAACCTGACAAAGACCATCTAAAGCACATGTCAAGGGTCCGTGGGCCAAATGTGGCACACCACAGCATTTTATGTGAACCATGAGAGTTTCATAGATCTATTTTCATCTTCACAAAAACATATGCTGCCAGCATTGACCATAAACTACATCTCCCATAATGCAAGTCCACTATTTTATCCATTAAATGATGACATCCCACCACTAGGTGGAGGTTCAAAAGTAGCCGTACAAAATCTACATTTTGTTGCATTTTTACTGGTTTCTTTTGTTGCGAGCCCAGTTGTGCTGGAAAGTAGGAATTTCATACTTACAAGTCAATAATTGAAACTGAAACATCCTACAATGGGAAGTCCCTGTCAGAAAATGAGAAATTTTAGAATTCAATAAAGCAGTTACTCCTCACAACTCCCTGCAAAATCAACTTTTTAAGGGATCCATGATTACCGGTAGTTGTAACATTAGACTTCATTTAATAAACATATATTTCAACTGTAAAATAAAGACTGTAAAAATACTGTAGGACATTCAGTTTTTATAATTTTTCAACTAAAGGTTTAAAAATACAGTACATTACACGGACAGGGCCATTTTATTTACATGCAAAGCATTCTGGGTAAATGATGACATGGACAGGTCAATGGTGTGAGACTGCTAGTGAGCTATATCCACCCTGAAGGTTAATCTTGGACAATATCTGATGATTGACTCTTTTAAATGAAACCAGAGAGCGTTGACAGAGAGGAGAAGGTAGAAATGACTCAGCCTGTAACTGAAAATATAGATGGAGGACAACAGTTTAGCTTGTTTGTCGCGCTAGGGGCGAGCTAATACATATAAGGCAATATAGCGTGAGGGCTAGCCCAAAGGCTAACAGGTTAAGCTGAGGTTCTTCTTCCATGAAGCAGCTCTGTTGTCCTCCATCTATATTTTCAGTTACAGGCTGAGTCATTTCTACCTTCTCCTCTCTGTCAACGCTCTCTGGTTTCACTTAAAAGAGTCAATCATCAGATATTGTCCAAGATTAACCTTCAGGGTGGATATAGCTCACTAGCAC